CCAAGTTAGGTTGAAGTACCACCAGCACATGCAAGATCCCTGAAACAGGGGAATTTCAAGGACTCCCTGCTTGGCTGCAGCTCCTATTGGTAAGTGCAAAAGCTAGGGTTGTGGGCAGACCATGCTGGACAAAGCTGCAGCACTTGTTGGTATACATGCAGGCTGTGTCTTGGGGGATTGGGGAGTACCGGGCTAGGCTCCAATATCTGCTGGGAGTGGGACAGGCCAAGCCAGTCTGTGACACTCTCTGGGTCATATGAGAGCCAGGTCTGGGGATGGGACAGGCTGCACTAGACTGGAGCACCCACAAAGAGAGAGCCAAAATGGGTGTGGGCCAGTTGGGCTGAGTCACAGTGCCTACCAGTGAGTACCAGACTGGGGGCAAGCTATGTCAGATTGGGCTGCAGTGCCCACTGGCACACAAAACCCAGAGCTGGGAATGGGCCTGATAGGGGAACTTGGGAAATTCCCCTACTTAGGCTGCAGTTCCATCTGGTAAATGCTAGGGCTGGGGGCAGGTCAGGCTAGGCCAGTCCACAGCACAAGCTGGCACAAGCCAGAATGGGGTGCAAGGCCAGGCTAGGTTGGACCACAACACCCACCAGTTCACATCAAGCAGTGGGTGGGCCAGGCTGAGCCAGGCTGCAGTACCTGCTGTCAAATGCTGAGAGTAGAGGCAGGCCATCTCAGAATGTGCCAAAGCACCCCCTGGATAACACAAGACCCAAGGCTGGGTACAGTCTGATAGGCAAACTTCAAGGACTCCAACTTTGGGCAATACTTCTGCTAGTGAGCATAAGAGCTGGGACTGGGGGCAGGCAGTCCAGGCAGGACTGTAGCACCCATCATAGCAAGTGGGCTGGGTCTAGGGACAGATCAATCTGGACTAGGAAGCCATACCCTCTGGAATGAGAGTTCAGAATGGGTGCAGGTCAGCCAGGCTATGCCATAGTACCTGCTGGCAAGTGCTGGGACTGGATGTGAATCACAACAGGTTAGACTGTAGTACCCCTTAGCAGGCACAAGATCTAGGACTGGGAGCAGGCCTGGTAGGGAAACTGTGAGCACTGGACTGCAACTCCCACTGGTGAGCATGAGAGCCAAGCTAATCAAGACAGCAGCACATATCAGCATTCATGTGGGCCAGGTCTAGAATGGGTTGGGCCAAGCTAAGCGGCAGCACCTATGGGTGTGCACAAGAGCCAAATGGGCTGCAGGGTGGAATGGGCTAGTCCACAGCACATGTTGGCACATGCAAAAACCTGGACTGGAGGTGGGCCTCTTGGGGCTATTGGGGTCACCCCTACTAGGCCACAAAACATGCTGGTGTGTATGAAAACCAAGCCTGTGATGGACTGGGCTGGCCTAGGCTATAGCACCCATCAGTTCACTTGAGAGATGAGGTTAGAGGTGAAGTTGATCAGGCAGTTGCATTCACAAGCATATGCATTGGCTGGTACAGGTGAGACACCAAACGTGACCCCCACAGGTTGGTGCACACACAAGTCAATTCTGAGGTCACCTCAGGTGAGGTTTCTTGGGGGTCTACCCAACTGGATCACTGGACTCAAACCCCAGCCACAGGAAACAAGTCACAAAATATGTGGTCTGACCTTGGTGTATATGTACTAGGACAGGGCCTCCTCAGTTGCTGATGCCTGTGCAGTGGACAGCATGTCCAGATGCACATGGGATCATGACAACTAGTTCATCTAGTCTAGTAGAGGACATAGAGCTCTCTCATCAGAGGATGGAAAGCAGAACAGGCTGTACAACTCTCCTGACCAAGCTTTGCAGCATGCTCCTGGGTCTGCACATGCACTAAGGTGGGCCTGGTCAGCCAATAGACCTTGGAAAGATTCTCTCAACCCTGGTGCAATGAAGCTGACACCATCTCAGAACTATCAACACCACTCCAGTGACTCTTCCTCACATACAAGCCTCTAAGGCATCACCATGGCTGTCCCCCATCCCCAGGTGTTGATGTAGTTTGAGAATAAGGAGTACCTCCTTCTTCTTCCCACCATTGCAGATAGAGGAGAAAAAAAACTGAGACATTTGTTCCTCCCACCTTCTTTCATATCTTGACCCGCCCCACCCTAATCAGAGGCCCACAAGGGCGAGCATCTCTCAATTATGTAAACATTAAAAATAAAATTTGTTAAAGTTTCAGAAGGAGAAGATACAGAAAGGAATAGAAAGCCAATCTAAATCAATGCTACTGGAAAGCTTCCCAAATCTTGAGAGGAATATGTACATATACATTCACAGAATTCAATGGAAACCAAGCAAGATCAATACAAAGAATACTTCAAGATACACTATGATCCGGTTGTTGTCAAAGACAAAGTTTTGAAAGCAGCAGCAGAGGAGAGACTTCTCACCAAAACTTTGTAACCAAAATGGAAGTACAGTGAAAGTCAGAGTTACACAGAGACAGAGAGATCTTCCACCTGCTCATTCATTCCCAAATGGCCACAGAAGCCAGGAGCTTCTTCCAGACCTCCTATGGGGGTAGATGGGACACAGGTACTATCTTCTGCTGCTTTTTTCAGGCCATTAGCAAGGGGCTGGGTCAGAGACAGATCAGCCAGGACCCAAACCAGCACTCCTATGTGATGTTGGGTCACAGGCAGCAGCTTTACCTGCTATAACCACAATAAAAACCCCTTGAATTTCTTTTAAAGCTTCCAATCATGAGTACAATATTCAGAAACGATGTCCTGTAAAATGAGTGATAAAAAAAGCTTCTTGGACAATAACATGATCTGATGTAAAGAAAATCTTAAACATTTTTTTAAACTGATTGCACTGTAAGCTTCAAGATATACAGTCAACAAACAAAAATCAGCAGCATGCTTTTAATAGTAACAACATGTTATCTGAAAAATAAATCAAGAAAACCATTCCATTTGCCATAGCATGAAAAAATCATAAACCTAATCAGAGTTTAATGATATGCCCACTGAAAACATACACTATAAAATAATGATGAAAGAAATTTAAGACAAATAAATGTTGGAACATCCCATGTCCCATGTACATGAACTGAAATAATTAAACTGTTAAGACTATCCACACTACTCAAAGTGACCTATTGATTCAGCAAAAATCCTATCAAAATTCCAATAATGTTTTACACAGAATTGGAAATCACAAAGGGCCTGTTACAAATGGCCAAAGCAACCTTGGTAAGGTGGGGAGGGAGAGTTAGAAGTATCACTCTACCTGATCTCAAAATCTTCAAAGTTAAAGTATAATCTGGACATCAGGGGACTGGCATGAAAATCCATAGACCAACAGAACAGAAGGAAGAGGCCAGAAGTAGTTCCATGCATTTACATCAAGAAAATAAAAGCACCAAGAAAACACAATGGAAAAAGGATAGTACCTTCAACAAATGGCTTTGAGAAGACTGGCTATCTACAGAAAACCGGAATAATGAACGTTGACCCTTAGGTCACCCCCTATACAAAGATAAACTCAAAATAGATTGAACACTTAAGCATAACTTTTGAAATGGTGAGAACTACTAACAGAAAACACAGGGGAAACACTTCTTGACATTGATGCAGGCAAAAAAAAAAATTTAGGACCCCCAAAACAGCCAACACAAAAAAAAAGCTGACAAATGGAAATGCATCAAGCAAAAGCTTTTGCACAGCAAAAGGAACACCAGAGAAAAGAGACAGTGTACAGAGTAGGAGAAAATACTGTGAACCATATAACTTTTTGAAAAAGGGTTAATATCCAAAATATATAAGAAACTCAAGCAATTCAATAAACAGGAAATGTTTCTGAAAAGAAGTTATACAAATGGCCCAAAATTATCTGAAAAATCATTCAACATCACTATTTGGGGCAATAAACTGGAGAGAGGTTGGTCCAATGATACAAATCAGTAAAGGAGTTGGGATAAATTTAGGATGCTTGCCATAGTTTCAATGAATAATAGTTTCCATAATAGCAATGAATTGAATACCTGAAAATTGTTACAAAGTAGATGTTAAATACACTCACTATAAAAAGTAATATACATTAATTATCTCGATTTAATTACTACATAATATATCCAAAAATCAAAGCACCAACTATGCCATAAATATATATAAATTTTACTTGTTGATTTTGAAAATTCCTTACTATTTTAGAGCTTTCAATAAATCAACATGAACCCCTACCCAATACATTGTAAATCTCCTGGTAACTTGCACCTAACCGAAGCCACATGAAACAAAGACAGATGAAATAGTTTCTTTCCAGATTTTCCTGACATCTCGCAGGCTCAGGAAATACGTAAGTTCCTTCCAAACTCCCAGAAAGCATAACAGCAATTACGGGTGTGTTCTTCATTACCAAAATGGATAAGAAAGACAGCCAGCCCAGTGCTAAGTGTCAACAAAGGATGACACACCTGTCAGCCAAAATGGAGGTCAACTTCCCATGGGGAGCTGTGGCAAGAGGGGTTTTAAAACACCACCACCACTAACAACTAGTAATTCAAGGACTTAGTTGGGGAAACAACAATGATTACAGTTCTGTGCGCCACTTGGGTGGACAGATATAGTGAAAATAAAAGTAGCAAATGTCTCAGAAACTTCAAAACCTGTCTTGGCATAATAGTGCAAAACTATGATGCTAACTTTTTGTTCTGCTAATGGACCGATGAGCTTTATCTTCCTAAGCATGGATGTGAAGAATGACTCACCTGCAATTTGAAAATGTAATCATGAACTTGACATTGCTCCACCCAGACCCATTTCTCAGATAACCACCAACCTGGGGGCAAGTCCCCTCCTACAGCAATGAGTCCAGCAGAGTTAGTTACTAATTAGGAAAAATCATCCAATTATGCCAACCTGCTGAGGATGGCAAGCATATTTACTTCATGTAGGCAGAATTTCATCCAAGACACTCCAGGGAATGTCTATAAAAAGGCTACCAATACAGTGGTTACGAGAAGGTCCTCCCTCCAAAATCTCAAGACAGCATTTCTGTGACAACGCTTGCCTGATACCATGTCTCTGCGACTTTCCAGCGGATCCAGGAGGTCCGGTACCCGCCCCAGTGCGGGATCGCTCAGGCTCTCAAGCGGGGCAGCCAGCTATGGGGCTAGCAACACTTGCGGCGTCCCTGGAATTGGAAGCGGCTTCTCCTGTGCCTTTGGCAGCAGCTCCCTGGGGGGAAATGCCGGGGCAGGCAGCTCCTGTGCCAGCTTCGCCCTGAATGAGGGTGGCCTCCTCTCAGGCAATGAGAAGGTGACCATGCAGAACCTCAACGACCGCCTGGCCTCCTACCTGGACAACGTGCGAGCCCTAGAGGAGGCCAACGCTGAGCTGGAGGTGAAGATCAAGGGCTGGTATGAGAAGTATGGGCCTGGTTCCTGCCGTGGTCTGGATCATGACTACAGCAGATACCTCCCAATCATCGATGACCTTAAAGCCCAGGTAAGGAACTACCCTTCACAAACACTTGATACACTCTGGTTTCTTTACATGGAATTCTACACACTTTGTCCTTTATCCTCATCACTTATCATTTCTTCAAGGGACTTTCTATTTAACATTGGAAATAAGCTTGGAGTAGAGTCCATTGAAAATTCCATGATGCAAATGTCATTGACTATCTAGTAATGGAATGAATCATGATGCTTTCTGTTTGCTAATTGATCAAGAAAAGAGTTTCTTGGTTTTTTTGTTTTTTGGTTTTTTTCTCACTGTGACAAGCTGCCTTCAAAAAGTCTAACCCCTGTTTTCAGATCATCGCTGCCACCACCAGCAATGCCAATGCCGTGCTGCAGATCGACAATGCCCGGCTTACGGCTGACGACTTCAGACTCAAGTAAGCAGACTCACAGCACACAGAGAATTCATGGCAAATAAAACTAACCAGTAAAATAAGATTGGTGGAATAAGCAACTAATTCTAATGTATTTTTCATCCCTCTATTAAACATTATCGACTCTTATTCCAAAACTACAGAACACTTAAAATAAGCAATGTGGACCTACTTTTTTATACTTTGATTACAAACTCTACAGCATCAACTGCTATGAAACTGGTACCCAGACATCGCCAATAATAATGGCGAAGAAATAAGTACTAATAGGCAATAAGTTTGGGAACTGTCTTATAGCCAGAGCTGCCACTTCAGAAGCCAAAGCATTTTTTGCTGACTGGGGGTGACGGGGGTGGTAGGGAAGCCAAGGTTCTGTCTCCCAACCATGTGGCAAACTGCTGGCTCTTTCGCAGGTATGAAAATGAGCTGGCTCTGCACCAGAGCGTGGAGGCGGATGTCAACGGGCTGCGGAGGGTCCTGGATGAGATCACCCTGTGCAGAACTGACCTGGAGATTCAGTATGAAACCCTCAGCGAGGAGATGACCTACCTCAAGAAGAACCACAAGGAGGTAAGGGCAGACCCTGTGCCTTTGGCCATCCCATGGCAGACAAGGGCCACCAGGCCAGAGATCATACACTTGATCTCTCCCAGAAGAATTTGGTGCTGACAGTCACCTGGGCCTGAGTGCTGAGTCGTCCATGTAGATAGTCAGATGATCTGGCCAGATTTTTGCTTGCTAGCTCGTCGGTCCCGTGGGAACAAAAGCAATCATGGTTTCCAAACCTGTGAGGATTTTAAGAGCCAGGTTTGACTATGTAATTATAGCTAAGATAAGGAGATCTACTTAGAAGATTACAGCTCAGGAAATCAAACAAATATCTTTTAAAGACATCCCGAGAAACCTCGATGGAAGTTTCTGTCTAGCAATGCCAGCTTTAAAGCCCTGCTTCACACACATTAAATGTACCTATGTATCACTAATACACATTCTTAGCAAATTTAGTTATAAAAAGAATGACATTGAAATTAGATTCTTAGGTCAGAATTTACACACTCAAGTAAACACTATACTTCCAGCAAGATTGCTACAGAAGCTAGATTCCAAATTGGATTTGGGGGGATTGTTTGCAAGACTGTCGTCTTAAACAAAGCACGACAAAGCTTTAACCTTCGGAAATGGACTTGATGTTATTTAAAGATTCATTTATTCACAAGGCAGAGAGACCCACTGGTTCAATTCCACCAAATGGCCACCACAGCTGTGTTTGAGCTAGGCTGAAGCCGCTAGCCAGAAACCCCATTCCAACCTGCTGCATGGGCGGCAGGCTGCAAGCACCTGGCCCGTCCTCTGCTGCCTTCCTGGGCACATGAGCGGAAGCCAGACAACAGCAGGGACTCAAATCAGCGCTCAGCTGTGACCTGCGAGTGTTGCATCACGTGATTTAACTCGTACCACAATGCAAATCCCCAAGTTTGATTTTTTTTTCCTAAGAGTTCTATTTTTTCCATTTTTAATTAGGTTTTAACAGATGCAATATGGTTTGTAGATACAACTCTAAGAATATAATGATGCTCCCCTCCTCCCTCCCATTCTCTTTTTAATTTTTGAAATGTCAGACTTTAAATTTACATTACAGTAAAAAGACTTAATATTTCACTGGATACGTTTAAGAAACAAAAAGACCCTGGTTTGTGAGAATATAGACAACAGCTATAGACAATAGTTGAACTTGATGTTTTCCCACAGTCAAGGCAAATGCTTTAAGAATCAAGCTAAAAAAATTCTACTTCATTCATTTTGAGTTTGTCTTGTAAATATCATCACTCAAATGGAATTCATCTGTCTGGGTTCAAGTGTGGTGATAGCCCCAAGGAGTCACTCCAAGCTGACACTGAAAGCATTTGATGCTCTCAGAGCCTTTTAGCAAGATCCATGCAAGTCTGTGTCCCCCAACACATCACCCCACCTCTGACTGGATTCACTAGCGCCCCATCTGGAGATGGAGAAGGTATCCCATCCATCAGGGAGGCAGGACCAGCCACAGGGATTCACCAGAAACGGTCTGGCAAAAACGGCTCAGGCATCAGCACAGGGACCCCTCCACTGGCGGGGCGCGGGGTCTGCGAGCTGACCTGATGGGGTTGCAGTTCGCACAGTCCCCTCCAAAGCTGCCTGCCGCCAGCACCGGAGAGCCAAGGCGCCGCGCCTCCCAGCCAGCGGCTTTCAGCACCGCCTGACGGTGAGGAGCAGGATGGCAGTCCCAATAACCGCACTTCCACACCAGGCAGTGGAACTGATTCTGATTCTGAGATCTTTCAGTTCTATCTCACGCGCTACGGAAGGGCTCTGAATATGCCTCACCTTGCAGCTAAGTGCCTGGAGACTTAAAGAGATTAAGCAATTTTCCCAAGAGCCAAGACCACACTCTTTCAGTGTCGGAAGAACTTTGATTTGGAATAGAAATTTTCAAGGCTTGTTCTGAGATAGCAGCAATAAAGCCTATGAATTGCAGTTCTAGACGCATGCATCAAAATTCCCCAGGAAAAAAAAAAAAATCACACAGAGCAGTGAGATAGTGAGCTCACCGTCCTGGAAATGCCACCTGTGTCTGGCAGGGATCACTACAAAACCCTGCGAGCTCTAGGAATCTTCTCATAGTCAAATTGATAGATTTTTGTGTTTGACTCCGGCCTTTCTGAACCAAACTCTGTCTGCCTCTAGGAAATGCAAGTTCTGCAGTGCGCCGCTGGAGGCAACGTGAACGTGGAGATGAACGCGGCCCCCGGCGTGGACCTCACCTTGCTGCTGAACAACATGCGCTCCGAGTACGAAGCCCTGGCCGAGCAGAACCGCAGAGACGCCGAGGCCTGGTTCAATGAGAAGGTGGGTCCAGCGCGGAGCATAGCCCTCCTGCACGTGAGGCATGGTCCCGGCGCTGAGACGCGCGTCCCTGCCCTTGTCTCCTCAGAGCGCATCGCTGCAGCAGCAGATCTCTGAGGACGTGGGCGCCACGACCTCAGCACGCAACGAGCTGACGGAGATGAAACGGACCCTGCAGACCCTGGAGATCGAGCTGCAGTCTCTCCTGGCCACGGTAAGGAGAGAAGGATGTCCTGCCGCCTCCTACGTTACCAGCTGAAATCTATGCAGGTTGCTTCTATTGGCCTGATGGTTAAGAAGCCTGGGTCACACCTCAAAGCACCTGGCTGCAAATCCCAGTTCCAGCTCCTGGTTCCAGCTTTCCTCCTAATGCAGACCTTGGCAGGCTGCAGTGATGACTCCAGTGGTCGGATTCCTGCCTCCCACGTGGGAGACCAGGAGTGAGTTCCCAGCTTCTGGCTTTCAACAAACCAGCGAATGAGATCTCTGTCTGCGACCCTACCCCACTCATAAATTTTTCATTTTATGCAGAGTTACATACACTGCAGCCCTAGCAACAGTGCCAATGTCTTTGCATTCATGGTACTGCAAAGTTTTGCTCCTTTTTAAGGCGTTTCAGTTGTCTCAACTAGGTGTTGATGTGAACTCGAAAAAAGACTACAGGTGAAGAGGAGAAAATCATACAGTAGAGAAACTTTTGCTATCCACATATGTGCCTCAACTTCTCTGTTTGATCCCTGACAGAAACATTCGCTGGAGTGCTCCCTGACGGAGACGGAGGGCAACTACTGCACACAGCTCGCACAGATCCAGGCGCAGATCGGGGCCCTGGAGGAGCAGCTGCACCAGGTCCGCACTGAGACCGAGGGCCAGAAACTCGAGTACGAGCAGCTCCTGGACGTCAAGGTCCACCTGGAGAAGGAAATTGACACCTACTGCCTCCTCATCGGAGGAGATGAAGGGTAGGCAAAATGATCTGCAGGAAGACATAACATGCAGTGAGTGCTCTGCACCTGGAGTTTCTGCCAGCTCAGACAGAGGATCATGGGGGACAAAAAAAAACAGAACATGCAGACTCTTTTTCTTGTCATTGTTCCCTAAACAATATGATATAACAGTTATTTGCACGTAATTTAATTGTCTTGGGTATTGTGAGTAGGTGTGGTAATATATGAGAGGACATGCATGTGTTGCATGCAACTACTCTGCCATTTATGTAAAGGACTTGGGCATCTATAGAATCAGGTACCCGTGGGGGCCCTGGAGCCAATTTCCTGCAGATGCTGAGGGAGAACTGGACTGAAATGTACCTGAAACTTCCATCGTTGGAAAATGAACCTGAGTGAATGTGACAGCACCTGTTACCCAGAATGCTAGAGTTAAACACGACTTTCTGTTCCCCAGATGAAAATAAGCAACACCTTGCAAAATCAAAATGTAACGAACCTGAGTATAAGGCATGGAAAGTAAAAAGTATCCCTACTTCATTCAAAGCAGAGTAGATTCAACTTCACAGCCTTTTAAATAGCTCTCCTCGAAAAGTTAAAGAAAAACCTCGTGGTGCAGCTGGAATTTGAAGATTTACTGTCGTCTTCTGTGTTACCACATTAACTGTTTTTTGTGGGTTTTTTTTTCTGCAGAGCTTGTAAATCTGGGAGTTACAAGTCTAAAGATTATGGCTCCGGAAATGTGGTAAATCAAATCAAAGGTAATAATAATGGGATTTTGTTGTCATTCTATCCTATGCACTATTGCATACCATATTTACACTTCTATACACATTTTGTTTTTACTATTACCACGGCTTAGTAAGAATCAATATAATAAAGACTGCAATGAGAACTATGTGCTAGATGTCCAATTTCAAAGGTGTGAGCGGATTTTAAATAAAGCAGCATGTCACCAAGTTCTTGTTCCTTAAAATGGCAGGTTTTGTGTGTATGTTTATTAGTACATAATACTTGCACACTTTTATGGGGTCCAATGCAATATTTAGACATATATGTACAGCATAAACCAACCAACATGGTCAACAGTCACCAAACTGAGTCGAAATATTTGTGTTTATTGCATAGCTTATCATACATAAAAATCCTGATTTTTTTCACTGATATTTCTTACTCATCTTCTATGAACTCTCTAAAATTTCCTCTTCAATTTAAATTTTCAGATTCGACAAAAGCCATTGTGGTGAAGAAAGTTCTGGAAGAGGTAGATCAACGCAGCAAGATTCTTACCACCCGGCTCCACTCACTGGAGGAGAAATCTCCAAGCAATTAATGTCAGTCACAACAGACCATCTGCCTGACACCCATGGAAGAAAAAAAGGCCTCGTATATCTCTAGAAAAATGAGCACTTCAAGAAAACTATCCCTCTTTCTATCTTTCTGATCCTTCCTCTTTCTGGGAAATCAATTCATCAAATTTTCCCATTCATCTAGAAGAATATCACATGCAATTACTGTGATCCACTGGATTACTCTACAGAAATTTAATTCTTCACATTCAATAAAGCTTCTTCCTTTGGCAAGTTATTATGTGTGCTATTGTCTTATCTCTAAAATCTTCATGTTTATAGTGTAGATATAGAAGCAAGTACCAAGTATTATTTCTACTAAGCCTTAAAAATACTTAATAGATCTCTTCCTAGATTTTCATGACATTTTCCCAATAATTCAGAATGAGACTTAAATCACCAATTTGACATACCTTGATATAATAAGGTATACTTCCTAATAGCTAAAATACATACATCTCAGATTCTTCATCTAGAAATGGGAATAATAAAAGTGCTTTTTAGAAATGAGTATTATAAATATTAATAAGTTGGCAGAAAGGTAAGTGTAAGTCACTGCTTGGGACAGCTGCGTCCCAGGTCAGAGTGCCCGACTGGGTCCCATCACCTCTGCCTCCCATGCAGCTTTCTAGCAATGCATCCTGGGAACAGCTGATAATGGCTCAGGCACTTGAGCCCTGCCATCCATATTGGAAACCAAGACAGTGTTTCTGAACTCCTGGCTTCATTTTGGCCCTTCTCTGGCTGTTACAAGTGTTAGTGGAGTCACTTAGTGGGCAAAGTCTCTCCCTCTTAAACATATGAAAAAAAAACACTAAAATTATAATAATAATAAATAACTCATTCTAAATTACCCTTATGGGATAAGCACTCAAAAATACTCATTCTGTTTTACTTTTATTTTTATTTATTTTCATTTTACTTGAAAAACAGAAAGAAGGAGACAGAAAGCTTATCTGTTGATTACTACCCTGGGACCCACAAGAGCCAAAAGAATACAAATGCTAATTGGCAGCAAGCTCTGCATCCCATTAAGGCTACAGAAGGCTCTCTAACTGCTTATCTTGATACATGCATGGATATTGAATCTGAGGGATATAAAGTTTTTTATTGGCTGCTGCATTAATTAATGAATTAAAACAAGAATGAGAAAAAATTGTCAAAAAATTGGAAAAATTGGTAATAATGAAGGAAATAACCAGAAAAACCTGCCAGACTATGTCACTGGTCAAACGAATGCTATTCAAAATTTGATTTACAAGGCCAACCACTCTCAGGAAATGGACAGAGGGGGTCAACTCAAGCCTCCCAAAACAATTCAAATCCCCTAAAGGTTTCCCTGTCAGCAATGGGGTGATTCACCAACAATAAGTGACACCCTCTGAACAAAAACATGACATGATCCAGTCTTGTACCAAAAATGATTCAAAGCTGCATCTCATGGCCAGAAGGAATTTAAATAATTTGTCAGTAAAGTTTCCAAGTGTCAATATAAGCTCAGTTCGCTCCAGCCTATACCATGATTCCCATGATATACCCAAAAGGCGTCTAGGCAGAGGAGTGCCAAAGAATCAGATAATCGGTTAGGGCTGGGACTGATTCCATACCAGTTTTGCTAAAATTGTGTAGCCAAAACTTTGGGCCATAATGCATATGGTCACAAGAAGCCATTCTGTAGTAACATGGCCCAACTGCTAAGAAGGGCGAGTGCCCTGGGAATGTTGGAAAACAGTCATCTTTGACCCAAGTCCCTGTACCCACATGGGAGACCTGGATGAAGCTCCTGGCTCCTGAATTCTTCCTAACCCAACCCTGGAGCATTTTGGGGAATGAGCAGGGAATGAAATCTCTCTCTGTGTGTGTTTCCCTCTTTCTGTAATTCTGCCTTTCAATTAAATAAATCCTCAAAAAACAAAACAAATAAACAACAAAGGTGAGTGAGCTGTGATCTGCAGCCTGCTCAAGCATGGCTCCTCAGGATGCGTGGAGACAGTCGGCCAGAAATGCTGACACATGCGCCCCTCCCAGCTTGCACCTGAGAAGCCTGTTAGGAAAGACTGCCTGCCAAGCTTGCAAGGATCCTGCCCGGTGCAAGGGTCCCCAGGGGTCCCTGCCCCACACTCCCCTCCTCAGTCAGAGTGCCCAGGAAACAAAGCACTCCTGCCGTCATTTACACAAAGCTACAAGGGTTACAGAGGTCTGGCTACAAGTCTTTCCAGTAAAATAATAACTTCTTGGGGCTGGTGCTGTGGCCCAGTGGATGAAGCCACCAACATCAATGCTGGAATCCTTTCTCAGAGCTCCACACAAGTTCTAGCTGCTATGTTTTCAATATAATTTCCTGCTAATGCTCCTTGGAAAGCAGTGGAGAATGGCCCAGGAGAATAGGCTTTGAACGTCCTGGATTCTAGAAGTTATTTCCTCTGTTCCTCAATGCCCTTGCCTATAAAATGGGGATACTAATGAAAACACCTACTTCAGGAGACTGCTGTGCTGACAAATTCCAAGTCTGTGCACTCTGGAGAGGGATGGTTCATATGAAGCCTTCAGTAAAGGTAGCTGGTATGATAAAGAAGAAATAAAGATGTAAAAATTAATTCCATGTTGTGTCTGGGCTCAATGGCTAAATCCTCAACCTGCAAGCACCGTGATCACATGTAGGTGCCAGGTCATGTCCACGCTGTTCCACTTTCCATCCAGTTTCCTGTTTATGGCCTGGGAAAACGGTAGAGAATGGTCCAACACTTAGGGATCCTACACCCACATGGGGAGACCCGTAGGAAGCTCCTGGACTCTTGATATCAGATCAGCTCAGGTGAAGCTGCTGTCTGCAGTGTCGGCATCCCATACAAGTGCCAGTCATATCCAGGCTACTCCATTTGTGACCATGCTCCCTGCTAATGGCCTGAGAAAGCAGTGGGAGATGGCTTATGTGTTTGGACTCCTACCACACATGTGGGAGGACCACACTGGCATGCTGGAATGGGGTGTGGGAACTGTAAGCTGAAGCTTAACCTGCTTACACATACACCATGGCTGGTGCTTAACCTCATGGAGCACAACATAGAGTAAGAAGTGGCCTTGATACCCGCACCACAGTCCTAGTGGCTAAATCCCTACCTTGCAACCACTTGGATCCTACATGTGCTTCAGTTCATATCCTGGCTGCTCTACTTTCCATCCAATTCTCTGCTTATAGCCTGGGAAAGCAATGGAGGATGGCCTGAAACCTTGAGTCTCGGCACTGGTATGGAATCAGTCCCAGCCCTAACCGATTATCTGATTCTTTGGCACTCCTCTGCCTAGACGCCTTTTGGGTATATCATGGTAGATCTGGGTAAAGCTCCTGGCTCTGGATCAGATCAGCTCTGGTCACTGTGGCCGTTTGGGGCATAAACCAGCAGATGGACAATCTTTCTGTCTCTCTGTAAAGTTGATCTGTCTTTCCAAGCAAAATAATAAATAAATCTTTAAAAAGTCAATTCCATGTTATCAGAAAACTTGAAAGATGCAAGAGCTCTTAGAGCCTGCCCCAAGTTTCCCTATGACACAACTGACAATCAGAATCATCCCTGGGAGAGATCATCATATCAGCCCTCTTAAAAGTGAGCAATAATCCTCCCAGCTTCAGCCCAGGGCTCAAGCAAGTGAATTAACCAAATCAGCAAGCTAAAGAGAATTTAAAGGATATGACCTAATTCCAAGGAATGTGTTGCCAAAATGGCAAGTCTACAAAGCAAATGGAGCGAACACAGCCTCTAATCCTATTCTTTGGGATGGTGATGCCTACAGGAATACCAGAGCCAAGACATTCCTGCCAGGCAGGTGACATGTTTGGGCTGGCAGCAAAGGCAGGAAGTGGCTTTTAGACAGAGAGGAGATTCTGGGTGGGCTTCTCCCTGCTTGATGCAGAGAAGGTTGCACGCAGCACTGAGAGGATGCAGTAACCAGGACATATAACCAAGGCTCCTCTGTCCCCATTGGCTTACAGGTCAATTAACGTTCATACACTAATGTAAATGCTTCCAGTGCCTTAGACTCCATCTATAAAAGTCCATACAGAACTTCCAGCCACCCACTGTGTCCAGTATAATTTTTTTAAATATGTATTCATTTATTTTCATCTACTTGAACGGCTGAGTGTGATCGAAAGCATGAGAGAGACCTTCTACCTGCTGACCCATTCCTCAAATGCCTGCAATAGACAGAATGTAGCTAGACCAAAACCAGAAGCCAGGAACTCCACTAGGTCTCCCACATGGGTGGCAGGATGCATTAGCAGGAGGCTGGATCAGAACTTTAGTAGCCAGGACTCAGGCAGCACTCCAATAAAAATGCAGTTTTCTCCCACAACAGCAGTCCCCACATGCGGCACCACAGTCCCCACACCCGGCCCTGAGTCACCCATACTCTCACATCTCATGAGTTGCCATGGTGATTGTAAGTGTCACCGAACAAGGGAGAAAGGAAATATCCTTCCTCTGAGGCCCATTCCATGAGGGTGCAAGGGTTCCCCAAGACCATGCTCTGTCCCAGTGATTCACTAGAAGGACTCACAAAACTCAGCAAACCAGTTACACGCGGTTACAGCCTAGCCAGTATAGACAGTATAGCATTAGGGATTAGAATCAGCAAATACAAAGCAACCAGGGGGCAGGCACTTGCTCTAGCCATTAAGACGCTTGTTAAAATGCCTGTATTGGAACACCTGAGTCCCAGGGTGGCTCTGGCTCCTGATTCCAGCTTTCTATGAAAACAAGGACAGTGAATAAAAGCTCAGGTGGTTGGGTTCCTGAAACACACACAGCAGATCTGGGTTGATCTCCCAGCTCCGGGCTTCAGCTCCCTGGCAACTGCAGGCACGAAGCAATAGATTGGAACATTCTCTCTACATATATCTATATCTATATCTATATCTATATCTATATCTATATCTATATCTATATCTATATCTATATCTATATCAGTGTGTGTGTGTCTTAAA